TATGCTCCTATAGGTAAGGAATTTTTCTTCTCCTCGTGCTTTGTAGTTTTTTTAAAGCCTTATTAAATTACTACAATGTAGACAAATACAAAAATGATTTATGATGCATATTTTACATTTTATTTTAGAAGTAATCCAGATTTTGATTTATACATTTTCATTTATTTTAAATTCTTTCTCATTTAGAAGTTATAACACCAGAAATTTATTCAGTTTCCAATATGATGAACTAATATCTAATTGAAAATTAAAATTTTTAGTGAAAATTAAAACATACTTTAAATTTATACCACTTTTAAATATAGCAGCCAGATACTTCAACATTAACTTTTACTGTTTTAACCTAATGAACTCAAAGCCACAACAGATACCTTTATCTTTTATTCATTTATTAGCTGAGGAAAATATTTAATAAGTTTCTTTTTTTTTTATCCTAGATTCAAAGTTAAAGTTGTAGGATCTTTAGGTTTTGGTTTTTTTTAAATTTTTTTCCACACTGAAATATAAAATTTATGACTTAAAAGTGCTCTAAGTATTTAGGTAACAGATCTGACTTCTTAACAGGAAGTTAAAAAGCCTTTCAACATTTTATAGACTTTGTGAGAATCTTGCATGAACCTGGTCTCTGACCCTTAGTGGAAGGAATGGATATAGGGGAAACAGACAGTGGCTAATGGATAAATGTATTTACTTTCCTGGATGTACTACAGTGACTATTACTTTCCTGCTTATTATCTTGGTTTTCTTTCTTTTTCTTTTTTTTTTTTTTTTTTTGGTAGACTTTAAAGCCGACAGTTACTACATAATTTGAAAAGAAAGAAGAGTTGTAGCATATTTTTTTCCCCGACAAAATACAGTGATTATGAGCTTTGCAGACAAACAGCTTTGGGTTTGAGTTGACATGTGTATTTAGATAGTTATATTATAACCTCTGTGATTCTCAGTTTCTGTATCTGTAAAATGAGCATGAGGGATATCTTCTTGAATTATATACTAAAGTATGTTCTTAGCACATATCAGAATTCTAATTTTAATTTCATTTTTGTCCTTCACTCTGTCTTTACCATTTTTTGAAGCTACCATGTGAGGCAAATACTGGTTTGAGGGAATTATTAGAAAATAATTACTAATAGAGTACTGAAACATACCAACTACTTGACATGGCTACTTTTCAAAATTCAATTTTAAGTTTAAAGTTCAGTATAATCAGAGAGCTAACCTGATACAGTTCCTCAGTGTTTGAGAAGTGGTCATTGATGCCATTTTCATATCAGACTTATATGGGTGGCAACACATAGGTCAGATTTGTCTGAGATCATAAGGTTGGAAAGCAGGCAGGATCAGAACTGATGTAAGTTTAGTTCTACATCTAGCTTCCCAATGATGTTTCACAATAGTTCTGTTTTGAGAAACCAACACTGAACAAGTCTCTTAATGAAAGGAGACTTGAGGCATATTTCAGTATAGAAATACCTTTAGATAAGTTTCAAGATAGATCAGAGGCATACAGAATTATTTTGTAGGGAATGGGTTAAGAGGAAACATCAGAGGGGCAACACTGACTCTACAATTTTTTCTTTTTTTGGTACTGGGAATCGAACTCACGACCTCACACTTGCCTGGCTGGCACTTTGCCTCTGAGCTAAATCCCCAGATACACCACAGATATTCTTGTGTTGCATGTGCATGCACACTCATCCACTTGTGCTTCAAAATACACTAGTACACATTTAAATAAAGGGAAACATCTTTCCCTAACATACTTCTAAGCCAATTTAGAGGTCATTGAGCAGATGTTATATAATACTAATGTTAAATTACCTTGTGTAATAAGAAAATTATAGTACCTAAGTAGAGATAGTAAAGGGAAACCATCCAGTGAATTATTCTAAAATTTCAAAATGAAATGATATCTTCAAAATTAAGAGTGGCACCATATGACTTTAAGAAAGTGAGTCTGATAGGGAGCAGGGAAATCACAGACAAAAGTGAAGCTTTTCTGTGTTTATATATGCCTAATTTTACTTATGCTAGGAAGCCTAATGGGTTAGTATAGCTTTCAGTTGTCTGAAACATATATTATTATTGTGTGGCAAGGCATTTATTAAAATCTAACTTCTTATTGAGTTGTTTAATATAAAATCACAATAATCGTTTCTAGTATATATATACTTCCTTTTTATATTAGGCACTCTTTAAAAGTTATTTTGAGAACATAATATGACCAAAGAATAAAAATGTATGAAGTTTGACAACTTTAAATAATCACTAGCATTTCTTAGAGAACAAACCTCACTTACGGTTAGGAAACAATATTTACATTTAAGGTTGAAAAGCCAGGATGTAAGAAAATTTTGCTAATTTGGAAGATGACCTTTAAGTGCACCAAAACCAAATAATTTGTAGGCTATGACACAGGGCACATTCCTACAAAATTTGTGTGAATACAGCTTTAGTGGTTCTTGAAAGACAAACAAAGAAAGCTGGAATGAAATCTTTATTCCCCTCCCAAATAAGACTGAGACTAACAAAAGTGTACAGCAGCACTCATTCAAAGCTTGCCATTCAAACAGGGTCTTTGTAGCACAGTTAATGAGATGGTTCATAGTGGAAAACAATCTGTTTTTAAGAATGTTTAGATCAAAAGTAATTTCTAATCTATGAAATAAAGTCTCTTCAATACCCTTCATTCACCAGTAAAGCTTTTATGTTTGTATTATTTACTTCAATCAGATGTTTTCAATTTTACCTTTTTTCTTTGTACCAATACTTGATATGGTTCATCAATACTGACCAACAGTTTTATTATTTTTCTTCAGAAGAGAGATGAGAGAGAGAGAAAAAGAGAGAGCGAGAGAATGAAAAAGAGAGAAACATCTTTGCCTAAACAATTTGCAACCATCTGTGCTTTAAGCTACTTTTTATGAACACTCCTTAGTAAATGACTCAAGGTAAAAAAGCAGAAAAGCATCCAATGTTAGGAAATTGCAATCCAATACCATGTAATTTAAACCTGCAGTTGCTTCTCTTGTACTAAATGACATACAGATGGGTAGCTTAGTTCTCTCAACTTTGGGAACACAATTGGTCTTTTTGTATGAATGAATTTATATTAACAAAAATATTTTAGACAGAATTGTTTTATTCTTATTGTCTAAATCTTAATTATCTATGCCATTGGAAAGAATAATTTTAACCAAGACATATGTCACATTAGGTATGTAATTAATGAATTTTTAAAAAAAATTAACAAAGATACATCATTTCTAACAAATAAATCAAAACCAAGTAGCTCTCAAGAAGTGTGTGGTAGACTGAGCACAGTCAAATGTTTAAAAGAAAGACCCATGCTACATTCAAGATGTTGAGAGGCTTATTCTGATAGAACAAACATTTCTTAGGAAAACACTTCCTTCTACTCCTTAGACAATAGTAAAAATGTAGACAGGTATTTACATAGATTCTAGTGTAACATGAAGCCCTGTGAAATGAAGGGCCCATGTGCTATTTGTGCTGAGCCAGCTCCTGAGGCTCCTTCCAGGCCAGGAAGGGCCAGGCTATGTCATGGAAGGTCAGCAGAAGTGCTGTTTGATACCCGCAGGCCTGCACAAAGATGTACCTTTCTATTTGGCTCTGATTTGCTCTTTTCCTGTCTCTGTATTTTCTGGTAGAGTATCAGCGACTCTGTCTTGGTGGCCCTAATTCTGGAAGCTGATACCCTCTTCAGTCCCACAATCTGGATAACTGGTTAGCTAATTTTTCCAAGTTTAACCTCAGTTGATTTCACATTCAGTGACGTTAGGCATCTTGAAAATAAAATAATTAAAAAGGATTTCTACTCCTGATCTTACTTCTTTGTATTACAAAAGAAGTCGAATTTAATATTCAGGAAACTAAGCAAACTTTCTCTTAGAAACTTCAAAAGATGGTAAGAAATCTTTACATGTAGACAGTCTGCAAGCTTCTTTCCCAGTGTGATGGATGGCAAAAAAAGAATAATTTTACTACAGTGAGTAATGGTTGCCCTGTCCCAGAGTTACATTTTTTTCAATCATTTGTGCAGGTAAAATAAAATACATATAAACAGGTGTTGTCTGAACATTTCACTACAGTCTTACAGGTTGAAATAAAAGCTATCATTGTATTATAGTCACATTAAAATTATTTCACCATTAAAATACACTCCAATCAGTAAAGTATCCCTAGATATACTTTACAAAAAAAAACAAGTCTGAATGAAATCACATTTACTTTTCCTTTTTCTTCCTATTTTTCTCACTTTCTTTGAAATTCATTGAATCTGTAGTAGTTTAAAATGCCTTTTCCTGTAGTCTATTAAAAGTTTCTTGCTGCCTGTTTAACATGGGAAGACATAGTCTTTAAAGGAAATTTTATTTCTAAACATTCACCGAACCTGGTGAATTGTCTGATGGAATCACAGAGAAAAGCAATTCCTAATTGTAGAGATTATATGTTCAGAGTTTACAGAAGATAGTTTAAGATAGTTGGATCATCTATATTGGAAACTGAATGATGATGATTTCAAGATATTCCATCAAGTTGCAGAATTTAATGAACACTTATGATTTTAACTAATATGCCCATCATTTTATGTATACAATGTGAATAATTATAAATAGGCATATGTTTTTCAATTCAATTTTTTTTTCAAAGAAGTTTCAGAGTATTGGAAGGCAAAAGTAATGTTACCACCATTTTGTAAGTCCTATATGCTAGAAGCTTTGGCTACAGCACATTGTCATTGTTCAGTAGAATCACTCGGGTTGTAAGAAACATTCTTTTTAAAGTTAGATAAGAAACATTCTTTTTAAACTTAGAGAAATTATCAACTGCAGTTCAGGTAAAATTTTCTGGTGCATTTGGGACTAGTCTGATCATTGACAAGTGACTGTGGAGGCTGTGTTGTGGCCGCCAGCCAAAGCAATTATTTAGGATTCAAGCTAAAAAGCTTCCTTCTCCCATATCCTCTCTCTTTCCAGGGTCATGTAGGGATAAAAAGAACTGTAAGGTGGTCTTTTCTCAGCAGGAACTGAGGAAGCGGCTAACACCCCTGCAGTACCATGTCACTCAGGAGAAAGGGACTGAAAGGTAAGGTGAGCTGTAATAAACGTCATTAAACAGGACCTTGTTTTCTCCATACGTCCACCTTTGAATCCTCTTTTTTTGCCAATTAAAGATTATTTGCTAAAGTCTATAAATTAGTATCTTTGAAAAGATTGAAAATGGCACTGTTTGGGTAAAGACCAAGTTTTATTTGTTCTTTCCTCCATTTAATGAACACTATCTTATGTAAAGTCACAAGGCTTTTGTTAAGGGCCTGTTTTTAGTTTGCTACAAAATGTGTGGAAGTAATAGCGATTTAGGTACATTTTTGGGAAGACATCACAGTAAGCAAAACCATGAGGGACATGGAGCTATGCCAGGATGCTGAAATTTTGAAGGTGGCCATTGTAAGTATAGACGTTTTGGCTGCAAAACGAAGGTAGCATAATTTAGTTCCTTTCTACCCCACTCCAATTTCTTTTTGAAGCACATGTGGAGAAAGTATTTATTGGCTCATTTGTGGTTGGAATGTCAAAAATTTTCAATAACTGCCCTCACATGGCTTTGGTCCTTGGAACTTTGCCCTAAATCCTGAAAAAAGAGTTTGTTCACTTCCAAGACTGTTTTTAGTGAATAAAGTCTCTCTCAGCTGATTCCATCTCAAAAGTAACTTGCCAAGGTCCAATGATTTTGTTTTCTAATTTATACCATTGAGCTTGGCATAAAACTGCAACTTACCTCTGATCCAAATTTATTAATGATGTAACTTTGTGTTTTCATTCATGAATTGAAAAGAGCTCTTACCACACATGAGATCCTCGTTAGTAGAAAGCATGCTCTTCCTATTACAGTACCTACTGTTTACTGAATTTACCAAATGTTGAATCTCTTGACAAAGTCAACCTTCACTGTACAATGAGCCAGTGGTGGACTTCAGTCTCAGCTCAGAAGGACTTCTGCCTGTTCTTTTGTGTACATGACTAGCAAAGTGATTTAATGCACACAAACAACCAGAGATTAGGTCATTCTTAAAAATGCTGTTTATAAAAAAATTGGACCTCATAAAGAGGGTGAAAGGATAATAAAAACAAGCTGCAGAGCACATAGACTTTTTGTTGGGCTAGCACAGCTGATTTGTATTAGCTGAATGACCTCCTAGCCTTTAAGATTGTTAACTTAGAAAAATATTCCCTTAAAGCTGCAATATTCCTTTTCAAACTAAAAAATAAGTCTTTCTGCTTGAAGTTCTGGAACTTTATGCATTTTCTGGTATACTTTTGGAAACTAAAGAGTAGCAGAAATCTTATGTAATACTGTTCTTTCTGTGAATCACTTTTTTTAAAAATAGAAAAAAATTCTAAGTATTACGTAACTAAATGGCTTGATTTTTAAAAATTTAATTCTGCACTAGTTTGAAGTAGTTAATAGGCAACCCTTTTATTATACATATTTGAAATGTATTGGTATTGTTCATAGTTCCATGTTTGGTCTGTTCTCATTTTAGGACAAAAAGTCCTTGAAAGATTTATTAGAAAAATGTATTTTAAGCAAATATGTTCTATAAAAATAATGTTAGCTTTGGTTAATATTCTTTGATGATCTGTTTATTGTTTATCAGTGCCTTTGAAGGAGAGTACATACATCACAAAGATCCTGGAATATATAATTGTGTTGTTTGTGGAACTCCACTGTTCAAGTAAGTATGTTTAAAACCTATAGTATGGGTATATTATAGATGGCAGCAAACTAGTTATTGCTTGCTCACCCTGGAATCTTTATATTTCTGAATTTTCTTTTTTTTTCACCCTTGACAAAACAAAAATATTAACTCTCATGATAAACTGCTAGTGTGATAGACTGGATGATTTTGTACTGTTTGGATTTTTAAAATATCCAGCATTAACTCGTTCACCCCAATAAGAATTTTGCTTAATAGAGCTGTCAAAGAGATTTTGATGGCATAGGAATGTTAATATGTTTATTGATTTTTATTGTCAAGTTATTTCTTGGACCTTTTTGGGGGGGGGGGTGTGGGTACTGAGAATCAAACTCAGACCTTGCACTTTCCTGGCAGGTGCTGTGTTGCTCTATCCCTGATCTTGTTGGACTATATTGAAAATTCTTCATGTGTATCTTTCAGATTTAATAGTATCCACCAAGTATATTGTCCCTACTTCTGCAAAGAAGTAAAATAGGTGTATTGAAAGTAATTTGAGAAGCATAGCACATATTTATACATAAAGAAGCAATTTATGTAATATGAAGTTAACAGTTTTTTTTAATTGATCCAAAATCTTTTAAAGATCCAGTTTACCATAAAACAGGTAGCACATCGAAATAGTTTATTTAAATGGTGTATTTTGGAAAGTATGTCTTATTGAAAAAGGGCAATTTTTAAAATCAAAAATATATTTATCTAAGTGAAGAAAATTCTGAAAGTCCTATATTTCCTATAGAGTTGCTGATTTGAAGGACTAAAAAGAAAGGAACTTTATTTGAGAGTAAATGTCATTTATTTAAAAATGAATAAACATGAATCTGGTACTGGTAGCATGTAAAACAACTTTATATCTCTCCATAAATGTTTCTCTTTTAAAACACTAGCATTTAAAGATTTTCCAGGAATAACCGGAAATTAAGCGTTTACAGCTTTTTAAAATGCACGTCTTACTGCACATTAGATTGGTTGAGAATCTGAATTCTTATGTATATATTCTTGATGCTATTCTTGAGCCTTCAAATTGTCACATATTTCCTCTCAGAAAACACACATCTTTTATTTCAACACCTTTGTCTTGTGTCATAATAGTTTATATAACACTTTAGATAGTCGTTGAGCCATGTTAAACTTATACCAAATGGTATAAATATACCAAATGGTAACAACTGGCCACATCCTTTTGCTTTTGGTTTAAGATTTTCCATTTCTTTACCTATCATGTGATACACTAAAACACTAGATCTACGGAAAACTTACCCTTTTAAATAAAAAACAAAATTACAGTAAATGAAGGATTAAACTCAAATGAGATTTTGAATCACAAATCCTAAAAAGCAAGATCCTTATTCAAACGTAGGTAATGGTGGGAATCAGGTTTCGTATTTAATGCGACATTACTGTATTTTCCTTTAGCATTCTTGTAAGGAAAGCTTTTATTTTCTAAATTTTTAAGGAATGTGCTTTAGTTCTTTTTGTCCTACCTTTTCTTTATTTCATTCTTGACCTTTTTGTTCTTGTTTTTTATTTATTTAGTCTACTTGGGGAAAAATTCTCTGCCTTGTCTTTCACTGGAGATAGAATAGCTCAGTGGTCTATTGTACCTGTTTTCATATGGGAGAGTGTGTGTCCTGTATATCCACAAGACATTCCAGGGGTCAAAGGGTATGGACAATTTTGGGGGCATCACTTTTCTGGTCCTCAACTTCCACAGGACTGTGGTCCTGAAATTTTTTTTTTTTGGTCCTGAAATTTTTGTCTGAGAAAATCTGTCATCTGCTTCTTCCTTTTCGTCTCATCATCTTGGTCACCTTTCTTTTATCTCATGAAAGATGGTACAACTGTCACCTATCCCAGATATTATTGATGTATTGTCATGGAGTACAGTCTCTAGGGTATCAAGAAAAAAATTGCATTTCAGAGATGTATTGCTTTGGAAAAAGAGCAAAGTAAAAATGCATTTGTAAAAGTATTGAAATAATCTTTTATCTTTGCAAAGCTCTAGCATGACTCAGTCCATCTCATATCTGTCTGCCTGTCTATTTATTGTGTTTATTATTTCCTACGAACCTTCTTAAGTGAAAGGGTTGCCTTGAGAACATGTATCAATGTGTTTATTCAAATAGAAAGAAAAAAGTGAAAGAAATAAATGTCTTTTTTTTTTTAAGACAATGAAAAACTGGTCTGATTGGTTGGTTTGTCAGTAAGGACTGGCTTTGCAAATTTCTTCATATAGTGGATTTCATTTATTTAAATGATCTAACCTTTAAGTGATCTAAGCTTTAAGGTTTTGACAAAAATTGATTTTAGGTATTATACAAAATGACAGACTATTTTGTTGTTATTTAAATTCTGGGAAGACATGTTAGCTGTTAATTTAAAATTTAGGAAAACAGGAAACATGTTTTACTTAGCACTCAATCAGGCTATAGAACTTACAGAGTTATTTGAACAGAAAAGTTTACCATAAATAACTATGAACTGTAACAGATTATTGTGGTAACGAAGCATTGGCTATTAAGTAAAGAAAATCTAAAGACTTGCTGTAAAGCAAGAATAGCAATCATGACCTCTAAGGAGAAGGCTGTTCTGGAGAAGCCAGGAGCTGGATAAGCTGCTTAGACTGAAGGAGCTGGGTAGGGGAAAACTATGTACACAGTAGGAGCCTGGCACTGGAGAAGCCACCCACTCTGCGAGAGGCTGGAAATAGAGAAGCTGTCTGTACTTTAGGATTCATGTGCTAGAGAAGCCTCAGGCTCTGTAGGAGTCTGGCAGATGCAGACCAGCAAGTGAAGACCTTTTTCTCTGGAGGTCTCTCTCCTGTGCCCTCTACTGGCAAATTTTAAAGTTAATAAAGAAAAAGAAAAGCAAAGAAAGAAAAAAAAAGAAAGAAAGAAAGATAAAAAAGGATCCAGCTCCTTGCTAGCAGAGCAAGCAGGAAAGGTGGATTTGGAGGTAAGGGGCAGCAAATTGATAACTGACAGGAAGACTGCATCTTTTAAATATTATTTTAGGAGTTCATAATCAAAAGTTTGAAAATCACTTACTAATTACTGAAATAGAGATATCTCTCTCATGGGCTTTCTAACTAGTTGGTTCCACACTATGTACAAAGTATAAGAAACAATTTGTGTGTGTGTGTGTGTGTGCACTCAAATGCATGTGTATGGGTAATTTTTATTAGACATAAGGGAGTGAGAGAAGAAAATTAGGTAAAACAGGAAATAGAAGAACAACATGAGAAATAACTGTAGTAGGAAAACAAAATAGAATAGAAAAAGAAGTGCTGAATTTGAGAATGTGTGATTGTTAGCCATGTGAAATTTTTCTACTAACTTACATTTCTGTCATCTAATTCATGCTTGTAGTATGTGTATATGTGCACACGTGTGTACGTAAGCCTCTTCCTTTACTTGACTGATACGTGTTGTACTTCCTTGTAAAAAAGGCTATTCAATTATTCTCTGTTATTTTCTAACGTGCACTGTATTCTGAATACATTCCTTCTCTGAACAATATGCAGCTTTCTTACTGCTTACCAAGTACAAGGACCTTATTCACAGGTTTCTTATAAACTAAAAGTATAATTTATTCCACATTTCATGTTTTCTTCACATTCACAAATTTTACCAAGCTAGTTTATTTCTCATATAGCACTATCGATTTTCAGGTAGTAAATTAACTGACAGAAACAAGAATGTTCTTGTCTCCCATTATTTGAACTTTTAAAGTTTCATAAAGCAAATTCATTACGTATCAGATAAAACCAGAGAAGGCATTGGTAAAACAATTTAATTTAAAAAGTATTTTGACCTCTTACATTGTGCTTTGACTGACACTTGACCAGGTATTGTGAAACAAATAAGTTTATGAAATAGTTTCTCCTGAAAGCACTTAATGCTTTTGTTGGACTAATATAAAATATAACAAAATAATGTTATTATATATCCTAATGTGCCTGTTTAAAATGCTTTTATGTGCATTAGGAAGATATATGACTGCATCAAATTGGAAAAGTGTTCATGGAAGAGATGAGACCACATTTTATTAGGAAGAAAGAAGAGTTCCATTTTCCCAAGTAGAGGGGATTGGTAGAGATTGTCACATGAGAAGTGAAATTAGAAATGGGATCTAAAGCAGCTTTTTCAAAGAAATAGGAGATTGGCTTGGGAGGTACGTTATGTTGGTAGTAATGGGAAATATGGCTGGAGTGTTATAGGTGACCAATCGAAAATTCTATAACTAGAGAAACCTTTTAAATTTCTACTTGAAATCTTTGAAGGTTGTAGTCTCTTCTTTGATGAAGCTTTCTGATCCTTCCAGGATGAACTTCTCAGCTCAATAACATGTTGTATGCAATTCAGTTGTCATAATTTCACTGTGTTCTGAATTATCTGTTGATTTGTCTATTTGTCTGCCAGTAAATGTATTTCAAAATGGTCCAAGCTATACCCTAATTCTATTTATATCTCTAGCCTCTGGAATTTAATAATCACCAGATATTTATTGTTCACTACATGATTATTTGAAGTTTATTGTTCAGATAGTGGAGAAATTTTGAATAAGCAAATAGCATGATGAAAAATTGGAAATAAGCCACAATAGTGCACAAAATGGATTTCTTTGAGCAAAAGGATAAGGAATTGAGGTTGTAACAACCTCAGTGGAAAGTTTTTGTCCTTTTTACGCAATAAACCTCAACATTAACCTTGCACAAACTGCTCCTGATAATTTTAGACTTTAAAGAATAGTTAATATTCTACATACAGAATACTCAGCAGGGCTTGCATTGAGTAGCTCATTTAATATAGGTTCATTAATAATAGAATGCAATTAAAATACTGGCTAACAATATATAGCACTCATCACATGGTAGGCATGGTACTAAATATTTTATATATATTAACTCATTTAATCTTTGCCACACATTTTATAGAGGGAACTGAGGAAATGTAACTTAAGAAGATCACTCAGCCAGC